TTCCTCCTTCCCTTCCCTCCCTCTATTCCCCATCTTCCTCTCCCTCCTCCCCAACCACCCTCTCGCAGCCACTCACGATGGGCGGCACGTAGCTGGAGGACCGCGTTCTGGGGCTGCCACGTGTACCGAGGCTGAGCTAACCAGGTGAAGCTCCGGGAGGTGCTTGTGCTGCGGAGAAAACGAGATCGTCATCAACATCGGAATCATTGTGGTTTCAGGTTGCACAAAATGTCAAATTAGGTTTCATAGAGCGTGCGACGGAACGCAATGTATATAAAACTAAATGAATTGCAGTCTGCTTGACTCACTTGTTGCGAACGAGCATTGCCACGACGTCGCGCGCGTGCAGAGCGGCCATCAGCAGCGGCAGGATGCGGGGAGGAGGTAGGGGCGGCAGGGAGCCCTTCCTGCTGGTGCCCTGAGAACAGACGGATGCCGGCGTCCTTGCCGAACTAAGGGGCATTGCTTCCTCCTGGACGAGAGGGTTAGCTTTTCTTAGTGGGTGATACAAACTGAATGATCTGAACAAATATGAAAATTAGTCAGCTGAGTGAGTGAGTGAGTGAGTGAGTGAGTGAGTGAGTGTGTGTGTGTGTGTGTGTGTCCGAGTGCCTTTCATTAGCCCTCACCTCCTGTTCGTCTTTGGCGGCGTCCTGCTCCTGCGACGCGCCGTGGCCCCGCCCCATGGCGGCCAGGACGACGGCGATGTCGTCGGTGATCACGCTGAGCGTCTGCCTCACTGCTTGACGGTCTCCCTGCAGTGGATGGTTTTAGCGCTAAGTAACCACTTGTTGTTATCCTTCTATATATCATTCTCCACTGGCAAAACGAAATACCTGTTTTCATTATCGTTTCGCGCAGACTGACCTTAGCACGGGCGTGCAAAGCGAGGTCGACGCTGGCCGCCCACCACACCCGCCACGCTACCGTCGTCGCCGCCGTGGGCGTCTCCTGTAGTATCGCGCGTCTGTGATAGTGAGGACGAGCAAACGACGATGAAAAGTGAACCTTTGTATAAGATTGCGACGTATGATAATAATGTAGAGAAGAAAATTGAAGAAATGATAACTCACTGCATCTTGGTCTCTCTCCCTAACTCTTCGATGGCTTTGTGAACAGCGCTCTTCATGGCCTCGTGCGATACCTCCACCACCTGCTGCACGCCCACGCCTACGTTTACGCCCGCTTCCCCGCCGCACTTTACGTCCTCGACAAGGGATACCGCCTCAGGGAAGCTCAGCTGTTCTCCCTCAACGCTCACTAGGCCTGTCACGGCGTCGTCCGCTTGCTTTACCGCAGCCACATGGTTAAACAGCTGTAAGGCATAAACCAAATAATAAGTCAAATAGTAAGTTCCAGGTGCCATTTACCAAGATTCTGCAGGGAGGCCTCGTCCCAGCCCTCGGACGCACAACTCCTTAAAGGAAGACTGACCTTGGCGATGACGCCGTCAAGGGCGTCCGGCGAGGGCTGGGCCATAAGAGCCATCACTTCGAGGTCCGTCAGGAAGTACAGGCGGGGGCACTGCCTTCGAGGTCTCGCAAGGGCGTCGGCGAGCTCGGTGATGAGGCGGCGGGCGAGGTCGTGGAGGGCCGACACCTCCTCCACGTACAAGGGATTCGCCGCCAGCTCCAGCACGAAGGATCGGCGCTCCGTCCTCTCGAGGAGCTGGGAGCGAGCGAGGGATGTCAGGGATTAGTTAGAAAGTTTTCCGTGGGATTCTCTCTCGTGTCGAGCTGTATAACTTTCTGACAAGTGTGTGAACATCTATTTATCAATTTATCTCATCTTTATCTTCACTTATCCACTTGTCCTTAAATATCTATTTCACCTTTATTGTTTTTCCTTTTCACGTTCGTTTTACCTGTCTGTGCTTGACTCGTAGGTTAGAAGAGCCCTCGATCAGGCTGCTGACGGCGGCTGATAGCAGGAGAGAGATGTCTGCCTGAGCCGCCTGCCACACCTCCAGCAAGTCGCCCACCGCCACCAGAGTCTTGGCCAGACGTCTCGCCTCTTCCTCGAAAGGCTTGCAGTACCTGGAAGAAAAATGGAAAAGTGAAGGTACAAAGAGACAAAAAAGGAAATATAAATAAGTAATAATGTAGAATTAATCTTGTTTGTCCTCCAACATCCTTGCAACTCGCCCGCATCCTTCCTTCACTTCTTACTTGGTGGCTCTGAGCGTCTTTAGGGCGAGGTTGTGGTGCTGGAGGGTCGCCAGCTGGTCCTCAAGGCCTTCCACCCGCCACACCGAGGTGGTGGTCAGCACGCACAGCCTTGCGCGCTGCCAGAACTGTGGAGAAGGTCATTTTTTGAGTGATTATCTGCTTTTCTTCACTGAACTCAATGGAAATGATTTGGGGAACAAAAGGATTTTAGAGTTTTGTGATTGCTTCATTCTTGCAAACTTGACCTTTTAGGCAATCAAGATGACTAACGGTTCAAACCATTAGAAATACACAAAAAACCTTGCTTGATACGCTACCCTGGTGATCTCCCTCATCTGGCTGCTGAGAAGGCTCTCCCTGACGGCGGCAGCGACGGTGGAGGCGACGAGCAGCGGGTGGCGTGACAGCCGGAGTTCCAAGACGTCCCACACGCTCACACCGCCCAGCCCTGACGCTGAGGCCCAGCCGCCAGCACACCCTGCGGCGGGTTGGATAGATAGAGAGGTTTAATGAATGTGAGGAGAGAGTTATGAACTATTATCTTTTCTGAAAAGACACGGCGAAGTCTAAGAAGCTCGCTCTCTCCTACCTGCGACAGTGACTAGGTGCTGCCAGTGGCGCGGCTGCACCGCCGGCTGCCTGAGCGCCGCCGTTACTTCCAGGCTGGTGGTGTGGTCGCTCAGGCGCTGTAGGAGGGAGCGTCCGACCTCGGTCTCCTGTGCCCCCGAGCAAGCCAGCAGCGCCTCCCGCACCTCCTCCACCTGCGTTTTGAGTTCGTCCAGCTTGGCGGTCGCCCACCGCATCGTGCGCCAGGTGGTCTCGATGGTCTGAGTGCGGTCAGGGAAACACATTCAGGTCAGGCTTTTCCTTAATGCACACTCTGTACCCATACAAACACACAGAGACATGCCATATGTTCATGAATTCTCTCTCTCACACACACACACACATACACACGCGCGCGCGCCACGTACCCTGAGCTGCTTGTATACGTTGAAGACGTCCCTCATCTGGTCCATGACGTGGATAGCGCTGTCGAGACCCGGGTACTGCGTCGCCGCCAGGTCGAATACGTCCTCCTCCTCGTCCAGGACGCGACGTTGATCCAGCAGCTGAGAAACTTCTTCGGTGTACTCCTGCGGGAGGGAAGTTCTGGATGATAAAGAGTCCGGGGATAAATCTATTTTCACTCAGCCGGAACTATGAGAAACTAGTTTTCAAATACTGATTTGGTAACATTAACTACTACATTTTGAAGCCAAAACAACGTTGCTGTTTCTAGAATACTCTCATTCTGCCTTGCCTGTAGGAGCGACACGCCCTTGTCCAGGTCCTCCCCGACGGCGCCCGGTCCCTGGGACTCGAACCTCTCGCAGAACTTTTGCACGACAGCGATGAATTCGGCCACCTTCTTCTGCGTGTTGGCGAGGAAGAACTTCTGGACGGGCTCGATGTTCTTCTGGACGGAGGTCGCCGTGTGATGGAGGACGTCCAGGCGCGCCGATGTCTCCTCCAGTTGCTCGTGGTCCTCCCTCGGGACCTAAGAAGTAAACATACGTATTTATATGTGAGTATAAGCATCACATAGTCTTCCTTTAATGTTATTCATCTCTCAGAAGACAGACCATGCACACCAGAGAGTCCTTTCATGCAGACACACACGTCCAAGGCAAGAGACTCACCACGATGCCATAGACCTGCAGAGTGTGGAACATCTGGCGCACATCCAGGAGCGCCGTGTGCAGGTGGGCGTGGTCCTGGCTAACACGCCCCACGGCCCGCATCACCACCGTCAGAGCAGCTAGATCCTCTGGGGCTGTTTGGAGGTCCTTGTTCACCGTCTACAGGAGGGAAAGAGGAGAGATAATCAGCTCAAATGGAGGTGAGGAGTAAAAAGTTTCTTATTTATATACGAATTGCAATCGTGATACTACAGAGATGAAAAAATGGTTATGACTGATCTTTACATATATGGGACAGGTCAGATTACTTCGCTGTTGAGATTGTTTCCGTCGCTCAGACATGTGACTAAGGCTGTAGGACCTACCGTGACCTTATGCAGCACGTGTTGCAGGCGCGACTTCGCCTCCTTCATGAGTCCTGTTCCTAAGAGCTTGACCCATTCACTGGTGTGACCCACCACCTGGCCCACTAGTTTCCTTACGTCCAGACTGAGAGAGGTAAAAATGAAAAGATATATAACATTATATAATACTTACTTACTTATAATACATGCTTACCGCATTCTTTATGAGTGAATTTTCAAGCATATCTATTCTACTTAATGAATTCAATTATTCTCTTATTTAAATTTGTAATTTCGTACGCGATTTCAGATTACCACCAAAGGTTAGTCCCTTGCTTTCCAGGTCATGGGCATTCTAACTACAATTCTTCATGATCATAGGTGTTCTACGTACCCCTGAAACTTGATCCGTAGAACTTAAAATCGGCGGTTACGTAATTTTTGGAGGTTATTAAGAAATGATAGTGGTATGTATATCCGCACAATTAATCATTGTTGACCTTATCATCGTCATCATCATCCTATCATTATAAAGGACAATCTCAATTTGAAGTCTTGTAGGTGATAGCATATCACTTGTAGGCTCAAAATGCATTTAAAAGAAGTCGTTGCCTCTAATATACAATATGATATCCATAGTCGGTTGAAGCATAACTGTGTGTTACTGTACTTTAGCCTTCAGAACACGTAGAGCATCTTAAGAAAGTTAAGGAAGAAATATCTAGAGTAATCATCTATCTCTATCTACTCCCTTCTTAACCCCGCTATAACGACGTGAGTTAATGAGGTCTTTCGCCATACCTATAATAACAAAACCTATGCAACGAATCCTTCTCCAATACCTGACACAGCCGTGGGTGATCTGCTGCGGCGCCTGCGAGAGCTCCGAGGCCAAGTGGGTGTAGAAGCGAAGTTTGTCGTCATACTGCTTGACGGAGGGGCCGCGGGCGCAGAACTTGGTCACCGTCGAGGACTTGTCGCGTCGCCACACGTGTTCGTACGAGTACCAGCTGAAGAAGGGAAGGAAAACTCTTTAAGAGAGGGAGAGGGAGCGAGGGAGAGAGAGGGGAGGGAGGGAGGGAGAGTGAGGGAGAGAGAAATGGAGGGAGGGAGGGAAAGAGGGAGAGGGAGGGAGGGAGGGAAGGAGAAAGAAAGGGATGGAAGGAGAGAGAAAGGGAGAGAGAGAGAGAGAGAGAGAGAGAGAGAGAGAGAGAGAGAGAGAGAGAGAGAGAGAGAGAGAGAGAGAGAGAGAGAGAGAGAGAGAGAGAGAAAGAGAAGAGAGACAGACATACAGAAAAAACAAAATGAAACAGAGACAGAGAAATATGACATAACACAAACAAACAAAATCACAAACAATTATTTAGTCTCCATTTCTTCCCTGATCTATTCTCAGGGGCAAAACACCTCTTTCTCTTCCTTTGTTCCTCCTCACCCTTGCAGTTCTTTGTCGAGCTCCTGGATGACGGAGGCGAAAGTGCTCTGGATACTGTCGACGGCATCATGGAGGCGGGGGTCCGTCGACACCTGAAAGGGAGCCTCGGTTATAGTGCTGATGGTGCTGATAATAATAATCTTGGTTGCTATTATGATCATCAGTTTCATTTTTATAAGCCAAGGTCAATATCATTATTTTCAATTTTGTTGTCATCATCATAGTCATTAATATAGTTGTTACCATAACATAACATCAATGATAATGATGATAATAATGGTGATAATAATGATGATGATAATAAAGATGAGGATGATGATAATAAAGATGATGATGATAATGATAATGATAATAATGATGATGATGATAAAGATGATGATGATGATAATGATGGTGATAAAGCAAAGTAGTAATAATAGTAACAGCAACAACAGCAGCAGTTGTAGTAACAGTTGTAGTAAACGGTAGTAGCAGTAATGACGATGCGCAGATAACAATGAAAGTTATAATATTTATCACACAACCAATACGCTTCCGAATACCTCCTCTCCTACTCCCCAACACGAAGCATCATCCAGCCTTCTCCTATCCATAAATTACATTCACTCTCCCTTAACGACCAAGATTCCAATGACGTCACTCGCGGGATCCTCACCTGGCTGTAGAAGGTGGAGGCGGCCAGTGTGTCGTCGTCAGCCGTGGGCGCCGGGTTGAGCACTGCCGTCCCGTCGTCCAGCTCCACCCAGTGCCGGAACATCATGGCACTGCAGAGGGGAAGGGGGTAAAGGGAGGGGTGAGGCAGGGTGAGGGTGGGAGGAGACGAAAGTGGAGACAATGGCATAGGAAAAGGAAAGGGGAGGGGATGGGGAGGAGAGGAGTGGGTGAAACGGTAAAGAAAGTTAAATTTAAAAATATGATCGCTGAAATTATGGCTCCTTAGCTATACTGATTCTTTCTCTCTCTCTCGATCTATCTATCTACACACACACACATATATATATCATATATATGTATGTATGTATGTATGTATGTATGTATGTATGTATGTATGTATGTATGTATGTATGTATGTATGTATGTATGTATGTATGTATGTATGTATGTATGTATGTATGTATGTATGTATGTATGTATGTATGTATGTATGTATGTATGTATGTATGTATGTATGTATGTATGTATGTATGTATGTATGTATGTATGTATGTATGTATGTATGTATGTATGTATGTATGTATGTATGTATGTATGTATGTATGTATGTATGTATGTATGTATGTATGTATGTATGTATGTATGTATGTATGTATGTATGTATGTATGTATGTATGTATGTATGTATGTATGTATGTATGTATGTATGTATGTATGTATGTATGTATGTATGTATGTATGTATGTATGTATGTATGTATGTATGTATGTATGTATGTATGTATGTATGTATGTATGTATGTATGTATGTATGTATGTATGTATGTATGTATGTATGTATGTATGTATGTATGTATGTATGTATGTATGTATATGTACATGCACGTATATATATATATATATATATATATATATATATATATATATATATATATATATATATATATATGTATATATATATGTATAATGTATATGTATAAATATATATACATATATATTTAATTCTCTCTTTCTCTCTCGCTCTCTTACTCTCACCAACACACACTCTTTCCCCCCCCCCCCCCCCCCCCTCTCCCCCCGCACTCATCCCCCTCCACTCACGTGCGCACGGTATGCCCAAGGGCGCCGGCGAGGGTGCAGGAGAGCGAGCGCGCTGGCGGGGACAACGTAAGGGAGCAGGTGGGCGTGAGGGCGCACTCGACCCCGAACACGACGCTGTCCCCCTTCAGGCACTTCTCGAAGCCGTGCACGCTGTTCAGAAGCATCCTGAAGGAGCCAGGGGGACGGGTGGTCAAGGTAGGCGGTTTTTTAATTAGGGTTAATTTGACGGTCTTACGAGGGTGAAGTGAATGGTAATGATAATAATGATAATAATAATAATAATAATAATAATTATATTATAAAAATTATTATAAAAATAATTGTAATAATGATAATAGTAGTAATAATAATAATAATAATGATAATAATAATAATAATAATGATAATAATAATAATAATGATGATAATAATAATACCAATAATAATGATGATAGCAATGATAATAATGATAATAATAATAATGATGATAATAATAATGATAATAATAATGATATAATCATAATAATGATGATAATAAAAATGATCATAATAATGATAATGATAATGATAATGATAGTAATAATGATGATGATTATAATAATAATAATAACCATGATAATAATAATAGCATTAATGACAATAGCATTGATAATGATGATAAGAAAGATAATAATCGTGATAATATTAATGGTAGTAGCATTAATGACAATAACATTGATAATGCTGATAATAATGATAATAGTAATAATAACAATAATAATGATAATAATAATAATGACAATAATGATAATAATGATGATAATGATAGCGATCATGATAATGATACTACTGCCACTATTGCTACCACTACTGATAATAATATCAATGAGAATATTGATGGTAATGAGAATGATGTTATTATTAATAATAAAAGTAACACTATACATAGAAATCCGTGGAGACAGACAGAGAAACGGAGAGAGGAAAAGAAAGAGAGAGAGAGAGAGAGAGAGAGAGAGAGAGAGAGAGAGAGAGAGAGAGAGAGAGAGAGAGAGAGAGAGAGAGAGAGAGAGAGAGAGAGAGAGAGTGAGTGAGACAGAAACAGAATGAGAAAGAGAGAACGAGAAAGAAAGAGAGAAAACGAAGAAATAAAAGAGAGCAAACCGCACATGGTAATGGCCTCCTGAACGTTCCCCCTCCAGTGGGCGAGGAAAGGCGCCAGCCGGACCCTGAGTTCGGGGGCGGCGCGGATGTGGGCGGCAAGACTCTCAGGGGCGCCGTCCTCCGCCCCGGCCACCAGGAGTCCAGCCGAGCTCAGAGTCCTCACCAGCGTCTCGTAGGTCTCCCTCAGCTTCTTCACCTCCTCCTCCCGCCGCTGACTACACTCCTCCAGCAGCTCCTGTCGAGGGGGGCGTGGGAGGGGGGGAGGGGGAGGAATCAAGACGCAGTTAAAAGCCAAGTTGCGTTAGTTTAATGTACATCTAAAGATCTTAAAGGTTACGTGCGGCCTGTTTATGAGATAAATATTGACAGTCCTGATTTTTATCTCTACGCCCTTCGGAAATTATGTAACGACCATCATAAGGTGAAGTGGAAGTTAACGGAATGACTGATGGGCATTTTGTCCCTTCGAAATCAGCGACACATACATGCAGGGAAGGAGGGTGGAGGGGCGCGTGTTCCAGGTCGAAGGTCACCTCCAACAGACAGGTGTTCACCAGGTCATCCAGCAAGTCCTCGAGGCGTTGTGTTATCCTGTTGGGGAAACCACTCCGTTCTAATAATATATATATATATATATATATATATATATATATATATATATATATATATATATATATATATATATATATATATATATATATATATATATATATATATATATATATATATATATATATATATATATATATATATATATATATACATATATATATATATATATATATATATATATATATATATATATATATATATATATATATATATATATATATATACATATATATATATATATATATATATATATATATATATATATATATATATATATATATATATATATATATATATATATATATATATATGTGACATACATGTATGTATGTCATAGACATTCCTGTTTGGGAATTCCCATGCAAGTCACTCCAAAGCGAATTACATATGAGTAGCTGGTATCTTCTATTTGCTTTTGAATAATCACCGTAAATTAATTTTCCCAAGACAAGACTACGACGGACAGAGCGTCGGGCAAAACGAAGGCGACCCGCGGGCGATCCGTGGACCGGTGCGAAGCCTCTTACCCGATGAGCCTGGTGGCGATCGACCTGACGTGCTCCACGACGCCCCTGCAGCACGTGCTGAAGTGCGTGAGTGCCGCCGGCGACCACGTGACAACCCGCTGGCCCGCTGCAAGCACCCGGTCAGCGCCCGCCAACTCAGCACGCAGGAGTTCCCGCTGAAAGAATGGGTCATGTTTGGTATCAGGCACGGATTCGCATAATTAATCGCATTGATTTTTGAGCATTTGGACCAGAGGATCACCTGCACGGGGCTGAGCTGGTCGAGAACCGCGTGGTAGTCCTTGAGCGTGAGGTGGAGTCCCATGGCCGCCGTCTGGAGCGTCTGGTAATGGAGCGTGAGATGGGCGGCCAGCTGGGGTGGGCGGATTCCAGCCTGCTGTAGCTGCCCCGCCTCCCACACCACCCACTGCAACTCGCCTGGCAGCTGCACCTTCCACCCCCCGACGCCTGTGTTGGGGTTTAACTACATATATTTCCCGAATTTTCCTTAAATATGACGTGAGAACAGGAGGGTAAGTTCAACAGTTGATGAAAGTACAGAGAGAATGTCAAAGCAAAAAATCGAAATGTAACATAACTCAAAATAAGGGGAAGCACGAGACGTATCTACTTTACCGAGCACAAAGGAAGTGTCCAGCAGAAAGAGGATTGAGAGATTGAGTTGTTTTGTCAGCATTTCTCACCTTCATGGCAGGGGTCGCGCGTGAGGACGGGTGTCACCAGCAACTTCGGGATTTTCTGCGTCACTCTCTCGCTCCACTGCAGCACCATGTTCTCCCGTGCTTGCTCCACCTCTTTTTGCACCTCCTCCACCTCCGCACCCACCTCCACCCACAGCTCTCCACCCGCGCCAGATCCCTAAGAACGGGAGGGTCAGCTTAGACGGCTTAGACAATGTGTGCGAGACGAAAGAAATAAGACCTGTATCTCGTATAAGCTATGTTCTGTATACATTATCAGTTGAATGCACAGATAAATAAATAAACACACATACACATCTATATGGTGGAAAAACCCACAATACACACACACATATATATATAAATATATATGTGTGTGTGTGTGTGTGTGTATATATATATATATATGTATATATATGTATATATATATATATATATATATATATATATATATATATATATATATATATATATATATATATATATATATACATATTAATATTGATATCAATATACTAATCAATATGAACATACACAGCCCACACGTAATATATATATAGACGATAGATTACACAGTGTACAAATACAGCTAAGATTTCCGAGCACTCAGCTGCAAACACCAGCCTCTACTCTGTAGAAGCGAAGAGCTCTGCATGTCACCTGGTACTGCGAGTAGAGCTGCTTGAGCGTGGTCCACGCCGCCAGCCGCTTCGTCAGGTAGCTGGTCATCCAGCGCACGCGGCCCGACAGCGGAGCCTGCGTCCCCGGCCGCTCCACCTTCTGTTGCGCCTGCGATAAAGGGTGAATGGTCAGGACTGGGATTTTGATAAGAAAAAAAAGAAAAAAAAATTATACTTATATATATTCATGTATATATATATATATATATATATATATATATATATATATATATATATATATATATATATATATATATATATATGTGTATATAGATAGATAGACAGATAGATAGATATAGATATAGATATATACATGTTAATAATTTGTACACCTTTTCCATCATGTATTGTAGTGTTCTTTTTGTTTAATTGTAAGACCATGAAAACGTAACTAAAAACATTTGCATTCTACTTTTGGGAGCAACACCTATCACTGTTTTCGCATCTCTGTTAAAATGTTATTCAAAAATCAATAAGAAATAATTGCTTGCGCACCTGGAAGTCCGCCCTGATGCCCTTGACCTCAGCCGCGAAGGCCGAGAGCAGGTCGGGGAGGCGAGAGATGAGGAGTTGCCTGAAGCAGGTCCTGCAGGGCTGCTTGGCCAACACGCCCGCCACAGCTGTCACCAGTTCCGACGTCCTGGTCAACGGGAGGACTTTAGCGGCTAATTTTGCATCTTTTGAAACATCATGGTTTGGCTCAAAATTCATAATTTTCCAGACATTAATGTTTTATAGAAACAATCAGATTAATTTAGGAATAGATAAAATTAATCAAATCATACTCTTTCAACTTCCATTCTTCCCCGCAACGGCACCTCCTGTCCCATCCTACCATCTACGCCAGCATCCTACATTTCACCTTCTCCATTCTGCCCCTTACTCTTCCCCATCCCATGCACTACCCTTTCCATTCTACTCCTAACCTCTGCCCTGCCCCTCACTCTTGCTTTCCTGCCTCTGCACTCTTCATCCCCCCCCCCCCCGTTCCCTTATCCTCCACTCTGCCTACATCCTGTCCTTGAAGCTCTCGTGGATGGCGGCGACGACGGCCTGCTCCCACTTGTGCACGGCGATCTGGAAGTCGTCCTTCTGCCTGATCCAGCGGTCGTGGTTCCTGCTGGAGAAGATGTTGAAGTCGTAGGCCGTGAGGACTCGTAGGACCTGCGCCGTGATGGTCTTGAGCTGCTCGGGATCCTGCACGCGGATCAGGGCCGACCACTCGCCCGAGGATCCCACCTGTGCTTCCAGGAGCACCTGACGAAGGTGAGCAGCGACGATCGTGAGGATATTAAAAATATAAATTATATAAATGTAAACTGGTCTACCATACAGCGTGAAGCCATTGATAAATTCATCGGAGTGTGAAAATTTTGATAATACTAAACTCGAGCCTCAAAGCTTTCACATGTAGATATATTCATTGATTCCCAACGAGAGACTGACCTCCATAATGTCCTCGAGGTCTTCGCACACCGACTTGAGGCTGGCGATCG